TATATATACACTGTAGTTATTAGTTTTAATTTAAAATCAGGAGATTTCTCAATATTTGGAAACAATCTATTATTCTGAAACTTTTTTTTAAATTAGAGTGAACAGTTAAACCAGAGGTGAATTATATGTGACTCACCAGTTTAATCAGCTTTTTGAAATGTGCATTATTAGGATTTATATCCTGAAGCATGACCTTTTTTAGTTTCTGAGGTTTGTGTCTACATGGTTTCATCAGATCAAAACTTAACTGAACAAAAATACCACATGAGCTGTGCACAAACACTTGTAACGGTTTGACTGTAGATAAGTAAATACTAAAGTTCTGTAATGAATCAGTCTGAAAAAAAAAAAACTCCCTCAATTAAAGCTGAGATTAAGAAATAAAGAAACGTAGCGTTAAAGATGATTAATTCCCATTAATCCATCTCGAAGYAACAATAAAAACCATTTACTGCTCTGTAATCCGATTGCTACTGGTGCTAAACGGACTTTGACCCCTGCAGCAACACAAGAGCTCCCAGYGGCAGACCTGCAGCCAGCAACACCTGAAAATTTCACCAAACCGTCCGACAGATTCTGAGGTGTGCAACAAAATACACTTTGTCGAAGATTTACAGTTTCGACCGACGAAAATGAATCTTCCCACGTGAGGAGTTGGTTTGACAAACACCGGACCTGACAGACGCAGGCAGGTGTGTGCTCACAGCCTTGATCCCCCCCTCCTGTAGCAGGCTGCGACATGGGAGCAGTGTGTGGGGTCAAGGCCTTTCCCAGGTACAAATAAAAGCGAGGCGCGAGGCTTCGGATGGGCTGAACAATATGGTGGGTCACCTTGCCTGGGAAAAGAGATCAATGTCTGTTTGACTGGCTTAGGGAGAGGCTGGCTGCAGTCGAAGGGTAAATCACCTTTTGCTTCATTGAGATGCAGGTAAAACACACAGGGGGCCGGGCTCGGCTCCAGCTCCCAGCCTGCAGAGCACCAACCCGCGGGTGGAAACGCACAACTCAAACGCCCCGATTCCTGCTTTTTTGACTGACTTTGTGCCTGAAAACATCAACGCAACTGCCTCGTTTTCACCAAAGCATGAGTTTTCATCTATCGCCCTGCAGTTTTGCCTTCTGAGGACCTCTTGCAAAACTAAATGCACATTTTCTCACAGCAGCTGCACAATCACAGTAAAATCACATTTCCGCTCACTCTTCTATTTGCAGGGGAAAACCTTGCCAAGCCAAATAAGGTACATCTAAAGGCAGAACCTTCTTTGTCTTCTTTTTTTTTTTACTTTTAGTTTACAGTAATAGCATTCTTAGCACATGCACAGCCATGACAAGAGGTAAATTATTAGTTTTAAATAAATGACATAACTGAGTGCGAGGAGGGAGAGAACSGACCACAGAGGAACGTAAAGGCAGCTGATTTAAATCACTTTAAATGTAAATGTTTAWCGCATGGGGTCATGCTGATGCAGATTGAGTGGGGAAAAAACAGAAATTGTTTCTTTTCTTTTGAATGTGAATTTGATTTGAACCCTTTGGGCGGTTAGGGTTATCACTTAATCAAATGCTCTGTTTGAGGAGGAAAAGTTATTTTTAAACTCTGCATCAGTCAATGAACGGATGAAATTATGATTGCAGAGTAAATTGGGGATTAGCAGCACGTTTTCAGGTAAATTTTTATTATTTTAATCATTTGTCAAGGATATGCAAACACCTTTATTGCTTAAATCTCTGAAAAAGTTAGCACATTCTTCAGATTTGGCTCAGTCAGTTAAAGCCTGCAGATCCCCCCACAAGGTCATACATACTGTGTATGGATATCGAACTTTCCCGTACAAACAGGCATTCAACAGTGCGCACATCCTTTGTCCTACTAATTCTGAGACATTAAAGCAAAGCACATGATGATGATTCAAATGTCAATACTGATAAATTTCAAAGTGATTTCCCATAGTTGACCTGAAAGAGGGAGTCCAATATTGTGACAGCAGACAACTACATTATCTTTAATAACCTAATCATTGGACAGACTGCAAATGATCACAGTGCAGGAGTCAATATGCACGGCCAGAGAATAGAATTACAGTTTCTATTGATGAGATTAATAACGCACTGGATCTACACTCAGAACGCTGTTTCATGCAAATGAAGGCGAAGAGGCGAAGGAACGCGAGGCTGCGGCTCCGACAAGAGTGCTGAAAGGTGAGGAGGAAGGCCTGAAACCTTTGCTTCCTGTGACTTTTTGTCTTCCCCTCAACACAGGAAGTGAATCAGTGCTGAGTTCACCGTGCCTCTCGCTGTGTTTAGAGGTCAAAACAACACATATAGGAGGAAATAAAAAAAAAAAGAACAGAAACACTCTACACAATTTCCACAGCTGCTGCAACAATCAGTAAATTTTCCTCTTCGTCGTCCTGCTTGAATGGCGGAACACAGACGTGAGAAATACAAAACAGATCGTCAGCAGAGACCTGACAGATCCCCCTCTGGCCCTACAGAACAAAGAGGTGACACCAAAGAACTCTCCGTGCAGTTCTAGGGTTATAACACAAATGTAATTAAATCGCTCACTATATTGACCTAATCAGATAGGAGGACCATAAATTAGTGGACACATGCTCACTAAAAGGCCCTCTCCTCTCAGCTCGTGCACATCTCTGATCGTTTATCATTTGAAAGGAGCAGGACTGCAGCCAGCATCTCTCTCTCTCTCTCTCTCTCTCTCTCTCTCTCTCTCTCTCTCTCTCTCTCTCTCTCTCTCTCTCTCTCTCTCT